TTGCAAAAAGACAAGAACTACTGCGTATCACCCATCGGCTAATGGCATGATCGAACGCTGGCACAGGTTCTTTAAAGCGTCGATCATGTGCCACAATTCTAATCAATGGGTCGATGTTCTTCCTACGGTCCTTCTGGGATTGCGTTCAAGCCTCAAGGAGGATATCAACGCCACGGCCGCGGAGCTGGTACATGGTTCAACACTTCGTCTACCGGGAGAGTTCTTTATCGACGAGGACATGTCGCCCGATCCCAAGATCTTCGTGGAAAAGTTCCGCGAACACATGCGTCAGGTACGTCCATCGCCGTCAGCACATCACGACCGAAGGAAGGCCTTTACCCACAAAACATTGTACTCCTGTACGCACGTTTTTCTAAGAGTCGACTCCGTCAAGAAGCCACTACAACACCCGTACGAAGGCCCTTACAAAGTTGTGGAACGCCTGTCAGACCGAGATTTTGCTTTACTCATTAAAAACGAAAGGGTAATAGTAAACATTGAACGGTTAAAGCCAGCATTTATAGAGGCCTCAATCGAGGAAGAACCTTTTTCCGATGCAATTCTACCGGAAGCGATGCAACCATCTCAATCCATGCAGAATCAACAACAACAAACGGAAAAGGATACTTCAACCTTAAGTTCAACAACCGTCCCCAAGGTTCGACAGCCAACCTTAAAGACTTATCCAGGACCCAAGGGTAAAAAGAAGACTGTATCTTTTGTATCATAACATGTATTCCTTTTTATATATTTCCGTAACGCTCGTCTTCGCTCAATATTAACTTTAGTATTATTTTCATTATTGATTTTTAGTTAGCCTAGAGTGCAATATTATTTTTACTATTTAATTGTGATAATATTCTTCCACATTCTATCTTAATAGCATATTTAGTTTAATGTATTATTTTATTTCGCAACTGTAACTCAGTTACTCGGAAGGGAGTCCTATGGCGGCTCCAATGATCGCGCCAATCGGTTGCTGCACTCGCGGCACTTTTAGTCCCTGGCGCTGCGGTATGTGGAGAATTAGAGAGAGTTTTAAGAACGAGCGAGTAGTGTCCGGTAACATGTAACGTGTACGAGAGAATAAAAGACTACATTAGCGTTAATCGAGATTGGACTCACACATATATTCTGCGACCTGCGAGAAGCCTTACCTTCCTTCCTACACACTTCAAATAGTGTACTACGAGGGCTAACCGACACGCCACATTTCGTGCTTTTACTGTCATACAATACGATTTATTTCAATACTTTGGTTTTACGCTTTAAAATAATTTTTATTCAAGGGGAAAAGCAAAGAAACCCTTATCTATATTGATATCCAACCTTATAATAAAACAAATATCTTAATTTTC